ATCTTTTTCGAAGTCATTCTTTGCTTGGTTTCGGAGGGTGGTATTCAATTCGATATATTTTTTCAGCCACGACGATTGGGAAAATTCTAAAATTCTATGAATTTTGGTTAATTTTAATCCATATTTGAGACATTGTTTCAAGTTCCGGTAGTGAATAATATATTTTTCTTTATGGCGTAAGTTTGGAATCAACTTTGGGTGTTTACCATTTGGTGGTATTATACTTTCAGGGCAGAAAGGTAGGTCGTTGTGGGCATCGTGCAAATTAATTGGATATTCTAAATCCACTTCTAAAACATATCCTTTGGAGGCATCGTCTTTAACCGAATTACAATCGAAATTTTCCACTGGTATCCATTTAAATCCGCCAAATGGAAGGGACTCGCTCATTGCTGCGCCGTATAAATTGGTAGCATCGAGATACATGATATAACTTTCTGGTTTTGAGGGATTATAATTTGGTAGAAATTTATTATTAGCCATCGCTTGCCTCTTACTGCACTGTGCTACTCCTCCTCTGATCCCTTTTTTAAAAAAGTGTAGCATGTCAATATCTGTCAGTAACTCAAGTTCTATTTGGGTATATTTTAGCATTGCATCCCAACTTAGGGAGGGTGCGGTCAAGTAATGAGCAGGATCAAGTTTATATTCTTTCAAACACACTTTTCTAAAGTTTTCGAACACATCTGCTAACAGAAGCACGTCAGTCTTGAAAAAAAGGATTGCGTAATCGTTGAGTGTTTTACATTTAAAAGTATTCCATACTTCTTTGGCTCTATTATAGTCTTCATCGGTGATTGGCTCGCCTTTCAAATTATCAAAAAATGTAGCTTTAGATGGTAGTTCCTCATCATCCAATTTTTGAAAAGAATCAACGTATGAATAAGGAAACACGCCCTTACGTCTCATTAAATTGAATTGTGTTTCGTTGGGGAAATATTTTCTAACTTCATCTAAAGAATCCAAAGTTTCACTGAGTTTATCAAGAGATCTTGCCAAAAATCTAAAAGAGTCCACAAATCTCAGTTTTATAAATGAATCACGAACTTTGGGATCATCAGATTTTTCAACCAAAATAGATTTGGAAAAAGAAATATATTTCTCCTTTGTTTGAGCTATTGCGGAGACAGATTCACCTTTGGTAGTCAATTCTTTAATAAACAAATGGCTGTCATAGTTTCTGAGATTATGAAAAAACACCGGTATAAAATTTGGCACCTTATAATTCAAATTGCAGGAGTTATGGGCGGCGTTCCTATATTTTCCCAGTAGATGGCAATGGTCCCGGACTTTTTTGTTGAATACATCAAAAGGTTTTTCACATATGTAACAGTTGGTCGCGTTATCATATGCTTCCTGTTCTTTGGGGGTAAGTGGTTGCATGACTTTTACATGCTTTAAATGGTTGTTATATAGGTTATGTACAGTCTCATCTAGTTTTTGCATAAACACTTTGCCCGCATTTGGTCCTTTATACATCTCAAGCTTAGATAAACTGTCATCGTAACTACATTTCAGGTAAAATGCAAAAGAATATGGCTCGTGCTCACAAACTTTGACACTGAATGATTTGCCATTAATAGGTTCACAATTGTCTATTGGTTTTAACAACGATTCAAAGTCTGCATAAATAACAAACGGCACTTGTAATTGTTTTTCAAAGTTAATAAATTTTAAAATATTTTCCGGGGTGATTTGTCCGCACTTATTTTTTTTCATTTCATTTGTTGGTAGTTGTGTGTATATATGTGTACAATCGTGTTCTTCATGTGCTTTTAACTTCTCCATATTTACAAAAGATTGTAAGCAGCCATCACAAATATAAATTTTTCCCTTATGGTTTGTTTTCTGACTTCTAACAAGTCGTGGCAAGTCTGTAATAAGGTTATAATGATTGTTTCCATCACTATCTGATACTAGCAACAGATTCACGTGTGTAGGTTGTCGGTTGGAAGTGAAATGTAATGGACCAACAACTTCATAATTGTTTTTACCGTCTCGGAAAAATGATTCAAGTCCAAACACATTCACTGATATATTATTCATAAACTCGAATTTTTTAATGTCTTTTAATTTTACGGGGAAGTCGATACCTCTAAAGTCTAACATTTTATCATAATGTGGGTATGATAATGGATACTTGGGATTCCCCTCGGCAGGAAAAATTGCTGCATTAATGGACCAAGCGAAACAAGCGCTATCTTTGTTTTCAATATTCAAGACAGCATTTCTTTTCATTATTGTCACAGGTAGCTTGATATATGAAGAAGCTGCAATACTATTGAAACGGTTTATGTTCACATCCAAAAACATTATCTCCTGTAAACTCCAATTAGAATCTTTTTCTTGGAATTCGGAAGCTTATTTGCATCATAAGTTCGGATTTAAATTCACCATATACTTCTTCTAGATTAGACGCTGTGGTAACAATTTTGTTTGGAGAATTCATGGATTTGATATCACTCATTTCGTTATCAGGTTTAACATATATCCCAAATATTTCCATATTTATTTTTAAACTTGTGTGTTGTTGCAAATATTCACTGATTTTATTTATAACTTTTGGTTTGACTCCATTAAAAAAGTCATTGTAACTGATTTTATTTTCATCACTGCTGGAAAATCTGTATGAAGCAATCCTATTCTTGAAAGCATGAGTTAGTTTAGTAACACCACCTTCCAGTACTTCAATGCCTATTGGTCTTAAGCTTAATTTATAACCGCCGTAACGTAACTTAAGAACTTAACGTAAGAAGTTGAAATATTGAATTTACGTATACTTATTTATAATGTTCGTAACGTAACTTAAGAACTTAACGTACCGTAGAAAGTTCACCAACTTTTAACTTAACAACATAACTTAACTTAAGACCTTACGGTTAGCCAATGAGATAATTCTGCGTTCAGCATGTGATAACTGTCAATTATTCTTTTTATTTTTTTTTTATAAATAAATAGAAAAATACCATTTGTAAACTATCATTCTCCTTTTTGATGGACATACATTATCATGAATGATTTGTGTTTATGTTATTGGGGATAAACTATCTATGAGATATGAGTGTAGCTGCATATACCTATAAACATCAAGTCTAGAACTGAAATAAGACAAAACTTTTTTGCTAGGAAAGATTAAATTCTCATTATTGCTCAAAAACAATCAACATCTTCGGTAAACTATTTTGTTTTATTATATTTTTATATTATTGCTTTTAAAGTAGTTAATATATTCTTTCTATATAGCAAAATCATAATTTATAAGTTTTATTTAGAGGTTAAGTACATAGTTTACACTTGTTTATTTCATAAGGTTGTCAATAATTTGATAATCTCTGAAATCAACACGCATGCTCTACTCTTACGTTACGGACATTTATAAATAGACTTTATTTTTATATCTTAGGTTAAGTTTCTACGACGTTAAGTTAAGTTACGTTACGGTGGTTATAAATTATACTTTAGTCTCTTTTTCGGAATCGGACAAGCCGGTTTACGATCCACACAATATGCGAGCTGGTGTCGCTTCAGATTATATGCGTTGGAAAATAATTTATTACACTTCTTACACTGCATGTTGTTAACTCGCCGTAAACTACGAAACTAGAAAACGCAATGAATGCGGAGTTCCTTAAATAGAAAGAGGTCACGTGACTGTCAGATAGTGGGATTGAATGAAGACAGCGAGAGTAGGATATCATTATTATAATTTACATGCTACGTATGGACACCAGATGTTGTCATGTGTTCGCCAGATGGCCGGGTGCAGGTGTTCGCGTGAGAACCGGATGTCTTTATCTTTCCCAGAGATATTAAATTACATGCCAGATGGTCAACATGTGTTTGCCAGTATATCGTTATCATTATAATTTACATGCCACGTATGGACACCAGATGTTGCCATGTGTTCGCCAGATGGCCGGGTGCAGGTGTTCGCGTGAGAACAGGATGTCTTTATCTTTCCCATCAAATTACATATTATAACAGGATGCAGGTGTTTGCCAGTATATTGTTATCATTATAATTTACATGCCACGTATGGACACCAGATGTTGCCATGTGTTCGCCAGATGGCCGGGTGCAGGTGTTCGCGTGAGAACCGGATGTCTTTATCTTTCCCATCAAATTACATATTATAACAGGATGCAGGTGTTCACTAGATGGTTTCCTCATTTTGCCTTCTCATAGGGTTTCCTCATTTTGCCTTCCCATAGGGTTTCCTCATTTTGCCTTCTCATAGGGTTTCCTCATTTTGCCTTCCCATAGGGTTTCCTCATTTTGCCTTCTCATTTAACCTCTTCTTGTATGAATCAGTATTTATGTCTACTCAATGAATTGGAGTGGGGTAGAATGTTTGTCAATAGACGTTGTCAGCGTGTAGTTTGCATCTTTATCTAATGGTAGATAATGTCCGAGATCCACACTGTCGTCACAGATTAAAGCGACGTTGTTGGCAACAACGCCATTGAATCTTTCTCAAAGCTCCTAGATAAAACGTCATTCATACACTATTTTTGTTTCTTTCGACACTTATATGAAAACATCATTGTCGTTGGTGATTTTAGCAAAAGTGGTGCTGTGCTTATGTGAAAAAATTATCAGCAAAGATATTGGACTAAAATGAATATATGAAAATTAAATTATTGGATGTAACTTTCTTGTGCAGAGTGAATTTTTATGATTGTATATGTTCTTTTTTAACAATTTTGGGAGCTTCCCTAATACATTAAAAACATCACGAAATAAATGATATACAGGTCACATTAGCAACAGCGTGCACACTCCAGTTTAAATGTCCAAGAACATAGCGATATTTTTACGGCATGAATGTATGTCTCATCTTGATAATCTTTGTTTTCATTACATAAACCCTTCATCCACTTATGTCTTTAATTATAATAAACATATCTTGAGGGTTATGAACCATTTTTTTTTTACTTTTTTCTTCGAGTATCGGAATACTTTTTAATAAAGTTGGTAGATAGGATTAAATAAATAAAAAAAGTATCTATCACCTTTATTGAAATTATATTTTTTATCATTTAAAAATATAAACATGTTTACACTTCAACTTTTAAAGTTAACTTTACCTGAAATTACTCTTTCAAACAATAAACATATTTGTCAAAATTTATGGAATAACGACACTTATTCTAATAAAAAGATATTCATAAATGTACGAAATCGTTTTCTACTGCCACGTCCCACGGCTTTCTGAAAACGTCTGGGGGTAGGGGAACACAGTGAGTTGCTTTGTACTCAATCATGTAATTTTTAGCCTGAAATTAAAAATAATTCTACAGATAGTCCAGGCAACGAAAAGGTATGGAGGGAAATGTTTGGAACACAATTTTTAACTTCGTAACTTTGTTTCGACTAGTTAGGAGGTGAAAGTCCCCGCCGGTAGCCTTTGAGCTGAGGGGGTCTGAAGGTCCAATTTTTCGGTTTTTCGCTTATATCTCGGAAACTATGCATCCTAGCAACATGACCACTCGATTTAAAATGCAAGCTTATTAAATTTGCTAAAAGTTTTACTTAGTCAAGTTTTTCGATATATCAGCTCTTGAAAGTGTAATTTTGGAAAAAAACATTTTTGCCTCACATATTTTGATCTTTTTGACCGGATAACTCTACAACGATGCACCCAAAAAATAAATGCCGACCATAGGGTTGTAGAGAATTAAATTCCCGTCGATAATATATATTACTTTACTATTTTATCTATTTTCCTTCAAATGTTAAATCAATTTCAAAATTTAGCGTGCAACAACTGTTCACTAATGAATCTTTTAATTTCTCACTATTCCCAGTCAACGTATTGGCCGAAATATGCACTATTATGTACTTATAGTGAGTACTGGACGTCTAAATAGCACAGATACTCATTTTGGAATATATAGTTGGGGGCTCTCTGACCGGGTTCCTCACACAAGAATATCTAGACCATTTTAATGGGAAAATATGTTGCTATGACCATATTTCTGCATGTATGAGTGTCTTTAAGACAATGGGATGGGTTTTAAATCACAACCATTAACTAAAAACAACGTTTATTGACATATAAAACTGAATTGACATAAAACAGTATGTAACATTGAGTCAATTTCTTGCTCTCTTGGGGTGGGAAGCGCTTTCATCCTCGTCTTCATCTTCTTGTCTCAATTCCACCGAGGGTGCAGTAAAACAGCATTCCCTCCGAACATTCCACCAAGTTTAACTGTAGCTGGGAATGACCTGCCTTCTCAGATGTATGGGTGGAAGATTGAGAACAACTGCTTGAGCCCAGTGCACAGTGAGTTAGCAGCTGATATACTGAAAATGATTTTCTGCCGATGCACAAAAAACTGTGCAAGCGCGAAGTGTAGCTACAAAAAAGCAAACCTCAAATGTTCCACGGCATGCCAAAATTGTCAGGGGAACTGCCTGAATGGGGTCCCTCAAGTTGACTCCAAAGATGAAAAAGAACGGTGGCGTTTCGCATATCACAGGGGTCTGATGGAGAAGATATTGGAGATAAAGATAAAAACGAAGACGAGAATAAAGGTCCTTCCCCCAAGAGAGCAAGAAATTGATTCAATGTTACATACTGTCGTAATGTTTTATGTTAATTCACTTTTCTATGTCAATTAACGTTGTTTTCAGTAAATGGTTGTTATTTATAAAACCATCCCACTGTGTCAAAGACACTCATACATGCAGCAACATGGTCACAGCAACATATTTTCTCATTAAAATGATCTAAATATTCTTTAATTAAGTGTGAGGAACCTGGTCAGAGCGCAAAATAAGTATCTGTGCTATTTAGACGTCCAGTAGTAACTATAAGTACATAATGGTGCATATTTCGGCCATTACGTTGACTAGGAATGGTGGGAAATTGAAAGATTCATTAGTCGACAGTTGTCGCAAAACTGCAGATTTCACGCCTTCAGATCAGCGGTTCTCAAACTTTTTTGGTGACGGAACCTATTTGAAACGCGAAATATTTGACGGAGCCCTAAACACATTTCTAAAAAAAAAAGTGCTCCGAGTAAAATCCTTACTGTAGTCTCTTGCCAGTTCCCTCCTCCCGTTTCTGAGAAGCCTCTACAACAAAATTCTCAAAATCATATAATCCTTCCTCTTCCTAACTTCTAAAAAAAAGGTCCTCATCATACGAAAATCATATGCTCCTTCATCTTCATCATGTTAAAAAAATATATTCGTTAGAATGATATTCATCAGGAGTTATGAAAAAATAGTGAAAAAAATATTTATCCATATTTAAAGGAAATAAATGTCAAGCTTCGACTTGTGCCAAAGTAACAATGTTAATTTTTGACATGTGCCAAATTTGGAAAATAAAAGTAATAAGTATAAATTCAGACTTATTTTTAAAAAATAGATTTTATCTCAACAAAATAGTGAAAAACTTGCCCTATTCTGTGTGGAATTTGCTTAAACTGTTGAAATTACATTCAACATGTCCTATCTGCTAATCTAAATCAGCATTTAACAAACAAAAAAGAATAAAATACTAGATAGACACTCCCTGTATAAACCTCCGACTTAACAAACAAAAAGAATAAAATACTAAATAGACACTCCCTGTATAAACCAATTATCCAAACTTGTGAAATATCAACCCGGTTAACTTTCAAATAACCTTCAAAGACACCTGCTGCTTCGCAAACAATTAAAACTAAGTCACGCGAGATTGTTTCACCCAATCATTACTCTCACGTGCAATCATACGATACTAGATAACCAATCAGAAGAAAGCCGGTAAACCGATGCAAGCTAACAAGTATCGCAGAACAAACAAAACACTCACTTTCGTTTTCTCAGTCGACGAAGCGACAAGTCAGCACTTACAAAGCCGGCATTCGCCGTAAATTAATTTCAAGCATTGTGCGAGTTGATTTACAAAAGTTAATATGTAATCGATCAATAAATTTATGTAACCAAGTAATAAATGTTTTAAATGTGAAATTATCAAGCTGTGAATATATCAAATTCAAATATAGGGTGATAGTTTTATTTGAATAAACCCAGTGCTTCAACCAGAACTTCAAGAATATCTCCCAGAGGCTACAGGTTAGAGCATAAGGCCTCCACCTTAGGTAATATACTATGATACAGTCCACCATGATCGAAGGCAGTAGATGTCAAGCCCAATAAAGCTAGGGTAGAACAAAACAATTGCGATCCTTATTTAGACATAAAAATACTGAACATTTGCCACATAATATCTAGGATTTTCCCTTACAATCTGGATATTTGCACCTCTGTCGTTCTTCACTTACTCTTGGCAAATGATTCAAGTTGTCCGTTCTTATTTCCTGGGCTGGAATCTGCGAAAAAGGATATTTCTTTTTTTTTTTCAGATCCAGTTGAGGTTGTAAGCTGTTACTTGGTCTTCCCCTTTTTCTTTCGGGTCAAAACTTTTGCGATACCAAGTTTGAATTCTGAAAGTGGTAGGTATAAATCATTATTTTTTAGGGTTTCGCTTCCTCAGTATCCAGCTATTGACGCATATCATATCCAGGAAATGGAAAAATACCCTCATATGCCACTTTTTGGTTTGAATTTGGATTCAGTAGTATCCTAACATAGAATCGAGAAGATCTACTCCCCCATATAAACATTATATACCGCAACACATTGAGGGCGGGTAATTTCTATAATATGTGTCCTAGATTTCCTGCAGAATCTGTTTACCATCGATACAGGCTGACTCCCAACATATGTTGACATGGTGTTCACAATTTTATTATCAAACCATGAAACAACAGATATGTCCACACCATCGACATTGGCTACTGCTTCTGCTTCAATAACTGTAGCTCTACCTTTTTTTTTTCATAGCTGCTTCCTTAGGGAATTCTAAATTATGCACACGATTTACTCTTACTGTCCCCAAAGGTAAAATACCATTTTTGGTGAGGTATATCTGTAGAGGAATGCTCGTAAACCAAGTTATCAAAAAATAATTTGTAGTTTAGATTTCTTGGAATTAATTCTGAAAGTTTTACAACATTGCTGCTTGCTCCTAGATCTGGTTGATTATTTTCAAGAGTAGTAACTCTACAATAAAAGTCGAAATCGTAAAAAAATCCAGACACCCCACTTAGAACAAAAACCTTGTGTGCCCATTTATGAGGTTTCTTGGGATTATATTGTTTGAGACTTGATCGAGCTTTTGTCGGAATAATTTGTTCATCTTCGGCCATATGCTCCTCTTTAGGAACAAGTAAGAAACGTTCTTAAGGAACCTAGCGTGTGTTGTCATTGAAGTAAAGAAATCGTTTGATTTCTTCAAATCTATTGCAGGTCATAGCACGTGAGATGCAGGGAATATCTAACGATTGGTTCCAGTAGGACCTGGTTGAAAGGAGTTGAATAATTGACATGTATATGCAAATATCGCAAAAATTCGAAGTTCTTATTTGAATATATTGGGCGGTTTTTCAGGCCTACTTTGTACACCAAAAAAGTTTGACTGTTCAGCTATATAAGTAAAAATTTCGTCGGTGAAAAAAAAATTGAAAAACTGAATGGGATCTTCGAGTTCTTGTATGAAAATTGGAAGTGTTTCATCTCCTTTGAATTTCACAAATTCTCCAGTAACAACAAGGAACACCTATTCTGCCAGACAACTTCTTCTTTTCCCATTTTTTGTGCTGTGATTTTTTACATTTTTTGCTAGTCGATGTCGATGGTAAATTTGTATCACTATGAGATTTAGATGTCGAGGGAACATTTATATCACTATGCTTATCTTGATTAAATTGTTGTAATAAAGAGAGCGGTATTTCATATTCGCTGTCACTGTCAGTTTCGTCGATAATTACCTCTTTAGTTGATGAAGCATTGCTTTCACTATCTGATGACTCACACAAAATTTTTGTAGGTTTCATGAGACTCATTAGTTCATTCTTTCGATGGTCATCATCGGAATATAAATTCTCATCATCCCTCCCATTAGTCATTTTAATTTGTACTTTGTTTGTTCCATAAAACTTCTTGGTATTCATCTGATTCCAAATATGGCACAAGTAAACAAAAACAGTTATTTTCTCGTTTTTATATAGAAAAAAGTTTTGTACGACTTTAGCCATCACAGTAAACACTTAGCCTTATAAAAATAATTTTTTCCACACAAATTAGGCCAAAGGAACAAAAATATTCTATTTTGAATTTGTCCCAAACAAGCTAGCGCCTGTCACCAGCCAGATATTCACTAAATAATTCATCAAATTTGCGCGTACGATAGTGGAGGGGATTTAGCGGCTGCCTGTGAACAAGCGAGTGTGTCAGATATGGGACAACTTGAGTTGACAGCACAAACTCTTCGGAAACTGGCCCCTCCTCTGAAGCCGCCCTTGGTTCACGCTCAATTTTTAAATTGCTTTAACATTTGAAGGAAAATAGATAAAACAGTAAAGTAATATACAGGGTGTACCAATAAAAACTCCCAGGCCGGATATTTTGGTAAGTAATAGAGATATTTTAATTCTGTAAAAGCCAGTTCGTAGAGCGCCAAGAGAGCTTCAGTTTTAGATATAAATTGATTTTAAATAGGTCAATATGTAGATGGCGCTGCGCTCAATATTTTTTTTTCGATGGGAGGATCTTTCTTATGTAGCGCATCTTGTAAAAAATGCATTTTTAATCAAATTTTGATCTATGAACTAATTCGATAAATCTAGCCATTTTTGATATACAGAGTGGTTCACTCAAAACAGTTTCATCCTGTTTTTCGATATTAATCATTGGATTTTTAGAAAATGCTAAAACAACAGGTCGATTTTTATTCCAAATTAAATACATTTTTACAATACAGACATCTGTCATGTGTCAACCCCCTCCCTTCCACTTCTCCAATCCCTTAATTTTAAATAAGGAATGTACCATGTACGGCACATCATTAAAAAAGTAATTTTATGGGGAAGTCAGAAATATGACAGTTTATTGCGATACTTTTAATTTTAGCGCCCTCTATCGGGATAAAAAAATCTGTAACGTATTATAAAGTGTGACACTTCATTTAAAAGCTAATTTAATTACTGATTCAACACACCACATAATATTAATATAAATATTTCCATATTGCACTTGCAACAAAATAAAGTTAGCAATAAGGTTTAAAATAATGCATGACTAATTTTCAAACTATTGAAACTGCAATATGGATATTTATATTAATATTATGTTATTAATTAATGTTATGTGGTACACTGAATTAGTAATTAAATTTGCTTTCAAATAAGGTGTCACACTTTAAAATACGTAGTTTTTTATCCCGATAGAGGGCGGTACAATTAAAAGTATTTCAATGAACAGTCATATTTTTAAATTCCCCATAAAATTACCTTTCTAATGTTGTACTACACATTGTAGTATCACACTCTATAATACGTAGTAATTTTTTATCCCGCTAGAGGGCGATAAAATTTAAGTAACGCAATGTATAGAAATATTTATGGATTCCCCATTAAATTACCTTTTCAATGACGTGCCATACATGGTACATTACCTATTTAAAATTAAGGTCTGGAGAAGTACAAGGGTGGGGGTTGACACATGACAGATGTCTGCATTTTAAAAATGTTTTTAATTTGGAATAAAAATCGACCTGTTTTAGCATTTTCATAAAATCCAATGATTAATGCTGAAAAACAGGATGAAACTGTTTTAGGTGACCCACTCTGTATATCAAAAATGGCTCGATTTGTCGAATTAGTTCATAGAACAAAATCTGCTTAAAAATGTATTTTTTACAAGATGCGCTACACAAGAAAGATCCTCCCATCGAAAAGAAATTATTGAGCGCAGCGCCATCTACATATTGACTTATTTAAAATCAATTTATATCTAAAACTGAAGCTCTCTTGGCGCTCTACGAACTGGCTTTTACAGAATTAAAATATCTCTATTACTTACCAAAATATCCGGCCTGGGAGTTTTTATTGGTACACCCTGTATATTATTGAAGGGAATTTAATTCTCTACAATCTTATGATAAGCATTTATTTTTTGGGTGCATTGTTGAAGAGTTATCCGATCAAATAGAGCAAAATATGTGAAGTAAAAATGTTTTTTTTCCAAAATTACAGACTTTCAAGAGCTGATATATCGAAAACTATACAAGATATCGAAAAACTTGACTGAGTAAAACTTTTAGCAAATTTAATAGGCTTTCATTTTATATCGAGTGGTCATGTCACTAGGACGCATATTTTCCAAAATATAAGCGAAAAACCGAAAAATGGGGCCTTCAGACCCCTTCCCCCCTCGGCTCAAAGGCTACCGATAGGGACTTTTGATATGTTCACCTCCTAACTAGTCCAAACAAAGTTACGAAGTCAAAAAATTGTGTTCCATGCATTTCCCTCTATACCTTTTTTTTAGCATTCGTTGCTTGAATTAAAAGTTGAAAAAAATTATCATTTTGACAACTGGTTATTATAAAATCTTAGGGTACAAAATTCTAGTGTTTCAAAGTAACTTACCAAAAATAGAGCCATTTTAACTTTCTCAGAATCATTCCAATCTTCGCCAATCCTCATGGGATAATTTTTAGAATTATCTGACATATAAGATTGCAATTTAGAGTAACACAATCTATCATCTATGTTGAATTGTACTACATACTCTTCTAGAATAAAAATAATTTATTTTAGTTTCTTTTAAAATTTAACATATTGCATGTAACTGTTGGATAATATTAATCATATCACAATGTAAAAAATTCTTACAATCAACTTGGTCTATTTGGATGGTTTATACAACAAAGAATCAATCATTTTTTTTTTTTACACAACGAAATTATCTCATTTCAGTGTCCCAAATTATTTTCTTTTCTAACATACATTTTTAAATTAATTCATCTTCTTCAAATAACTTCGTTATAACTTGATTCTTTATTATAAAGATCTTTACAAAAACATACCACATATTCCTTAGACCAAAATAAGTCGATTTAAGTAAAATTACCTTAGTACAAAGTTGCTTCGTTTGGGCTCCAGAGGGCCTTGAAGTTACAATTTTTAAATCGTTTTTCCCATATAAATTTAAAACGGCATATGCGATTTTGCTGAAATTTGGTATATTGGTAGAGTTTTATGTGGCAAAAAAATGGTATTAAAATTTTGTCCGATAATAATACATAGGCGTAGAACTTGATTTTTTAAATAATTGCACCTTTAAAAATTCTACGCCAATGGAAGAAAAGGAGTTTGAGTATGAAATTTAGATTACGCAACTCATTTACTCAAAGGTACTCTTGATAAGACTCGATTACTCTCATGGTTTGACGAAATTTGCATTTTAGTAATTTTAGAACATAAACAATAATTATTAAAATACAAACTTTGTCAAAACCATAAGAGTAAATCGAGTGTTATCAAGGGTACTTTTTTGTAGTTAATGAGTACCCAATCAAAATTTCATACTCAAACCCCTTTTATGCCATTGGCGTAGAATTTTTAAAGGTGCAATTATTTAAAAAATCAAGTTCTACGCCTATGTATTATTATCGGATAAAATTTTATACGATGAAAAACATAAAAATGTACTTTTTTCATATCTTCTTCAACACCTCTAATCGAGACTTTTAACAAAAATACTCAATTCTTGCCATGTACGATTTTTTGAGGAATATTAATTATTTGCCTGCAATACGTATACAAAAACATTTATTGTTGGTTTCCATAGTTTCATCTAAATAAAAATATTGTCAAGTTTTAACACCTAATCTCTTGTTAACGATTGAAAGTGTTCTATCTGACTCAATAATTAAAAAAAACAATGCGTGGTTTATTAATATGGCTGTACAATATACCAATGCAGAATATACCGATATGTTACTGACATTAAGATTTTGTGAAGGAAATGCTCGAGAGAGTGTCAGGGTGTACTCTGAAAGGTTTTCAAATCGTCGTGTACCTAGCCACCCAACTTTTGCTGCTGTTGAGAGACGTCTTCGGGAGACCGGTTCCTTTGCTCCCAACACTGTTGATAATGAAAGAGAACGTTTTGGAAGGATTCCAGAAGTTGAAGAAGACATTTTAGAACGTGTTGAAGAAGATCCAGAATTAAGCACCAGACGAATTGGAAGGGAACTATGAGTAAGTAAAGATGTCGTTCATAAAGTGCTTAGAGAACAATTGCTATATCCATACCATAAGAAGCCAGTCCAAGAATTATTAGTCCATGATCCTCAAATTCGTTTGGGTTTTTGTCGATATGTTAATATGCAAAGAAAAAGAGATCCAAACTTTGTCAAGAAGGTTCTCTTTACCGATGAAGCGGGTTTTACAAGAAGAGGTATAACTAATACCCATAATGAACATGTTTATGCCGTTGAAAATCCGCATGCAATAAAGGTAAACCATTTTCAGCACGAATTAAAAATTAATGTGTGGGCTGGAATAATTGGTAATTTCATTGTTGGTCCTGTCATACTTCCACGAAGATTAACTGGAGAAAATACGCTGCCAGAATTGTTAGAAGATTTACCTCTCCAACTTCGGAGAGATATGTGGTTTATGCAAGATGGAGCTCACATTTTTATGGAAAGGATACATTTTAATTTTCTTCGACGTATAAATCTTTGTATGCGTGAAAATGGTGAACATTTTGAACAATTTTTGTAAAATCTCTATTTTGATTATGTTGTAAATAAATATTTTTGTGAAACCTATACACTTTAAATTATTAAAACAGAAATTTAGCGAAAACCATGAGTAATCGAGTCTTATCAAGAGTACCTTTTTTAAAGTAAATGAGTTGCGCAATCTAAATTTCATACTCAAACTCCTTTTCTTCCATTGGCGTAGAATTTTTAAAGGTGCAATTATTTAAAAAATCAAGTTCTACGCCTATGTATTATTATCGGACAAAATTTTAATACCATTTTTTTGCCACATAAACCTCTACCAATATACCAAATTTCAGCAAAATCGCATATGCCGTTTTAAATTTATATGGGAAAAACGATTTAAAAATTGTAACTTCAATGCCCTCTGGAGCCCAAACGAAGCAACTTTGTACTAAGGTAATTTTACTTAAATCGACTTATTTTGGTCTAAGGAATATATGGTATGTTTTTGTAAAGACCTTTTACAGACACCCTGTATATACAGTGCGTTAACTCGCTTCATTAGAACGGTATAGAAACACAATGGTATTGAGTAGAGAGAAATAGAATACTAGGCGGACCGCAATATACATGCAATATCCTATCCTTGCTTTCTTTATGCGTCTCATCTGTATTCAGCCTTATGAGCCTATTAACGTACTGTATATTATAAATATGTTTCTTTAAGAATGTCTATTTAAAGTAAAATTACCTTGGTCAGCCTGAGCACCAGACAAGTATTCAAGCAACAGCCTCAATCTGAGATTATCAAAAATGCAAGGAAACCGGTGACTCAGAACTTTCATCAGTAAGTCATTGATTCGGTTACTTGAAATGTCATTTGGTCTAAAAATAATAAATTTGTTATAGTCGATATCATTTTTTGTTTAAGGTTTTTTTTAAAATATTTTCCTATCTCAAAAAGTACCTACATGTTTATATTTAATAGACCTTCTAGAAAATATTTTATCAGTTAGACATACAACTTACCTTGTACATATCACTTCATCCTCGGCCCTCCTTACTAATAATATTGGACCATTGTATCTGATCAGTTGTTCACCTATATTGAGATCAATGTGATCTCTTATAGCGATCTTAACAATTGGTTCCAACCAAGAAGGCATTATATTACAAGCTAGAGGTAACACATCATCAAAAGTAGCATCCAATATCTAAAACAATTTTGCTAAATTAACATCAAAGCGCCACCTGCAAACAGTGCCTAAATGCAAAATAATAATATAATAATAATACTCTCCCTAATTCCCCCCCCTTACGAGTGAATTTTAACCCCAAAAGCTGAGCTTGTGCAGGGAAAGGGACGGCTATTATTATTATTTGCCGTGGCGCTCCGGGGCGACTTAGAGATGATTGATGGTGCCATTTGACTTACAGATGAGGAAAACCCGGAAAACCTCACCCACCATCATCACCACCAAAATGTCTATAATTGAATAATTTGGACGCAGATACTTTCTATTTAACATAATAAATTAATTTAATTTTGTTATTTATAAACAGAGAGTTTGGAACTATACGAATTATGTATTGAAATATTATATCAATCATGTATTTACTTGCCCTCTAAAGCAAGACGGGTTGCCGATCGCATTAATAAATTTTTCTCGAGTAACAAACTGTTATTCACTTCTAATAATTGAGATTTGACAAATTCCACCGAAGCGGGATCGGGTCAGCTAGTTTTATTTAAAGACCATTGAAAAAATACCGGTGTTACTTCCGAATATTTCTTTGGTAAAAATGTTTTGTAGCATATGTCGCTGGTGTTAGAAGAATTGGGTTCTTTTGTAGAAATAACTAACGAGTCATAGGTAGTAGAAAAAGAAGTGTTTTTAATTCACTATTTTCACTGAAGTAAATACATAGTGGTTAATTCCATTTAGATATAATAATTTTCTTATCTTCACTAAACAGTTTTAAATATTTACAATTTTAGTTCATCACAATTTGATTAAGTAATACAGTTGATTTTTTAGTTACCAACTTGAAAACATTTGTTTTGTAGAATTTCTTATGCCATAATAATTGTAGAAGATATAACTTTCACCAGAAAATAAAATGCATTAAACGCTTGTAAAAATGTAGAAAGTAACGTGCCGTCGGCAGAAAGCACCTGAACGTTCGGATGGCAGACAACTGTGAGCGATGATGGCAAGAAGACAACTGAACCGTTGGTGGCAATAAGACAACTGATCTCTTCGCGTCGAGCTCACCCTAATATATACTGTTGGGACGAAATGAGTGTCCGGGACATAGTTGACGCACCTATTCGGTTTCAACCAATGAAAACATCATGACATAATGAAATACGTCATTTGTGTTTCGTCAACTATGCGCCGGACACTCATTTTGTTCCACTGCACAGCTGTGCACCTGAAAACACAGGTGTTCGACGTTCGGTATTCTGAGAAAAATGCTATTTATAGTTTTATGACTTCACATTATATTAGGGTAAAAAGCAGTCGAACTATTTGAGAATTGTTTATTTATTTAGTAGATGTAAAATATTAATTTGTTGATGTTTTTACTGGTGAAATTGTAGAATTTAACCAACCATTGTTAAATAGAACAACCTTTGAGAAACTAAAAACCACTGTAGAGGTTGAAGCAAGGCAGTAACTACAAAAAGGCAGTAACATGCCCACCTTACCCAAATTTAATAGTTACAAATGTACTTACTATGCCCTTTACTTCGGGGTAACTCATTGCAGCCCAAGAAGCTGAGTATCCGCCGATACTCCATCCGAATATTATAATATCTTCTCTTTTAAAACCTAATTTATTTTCAGCAAATTGCATAACAGCATGTATAGCGTTTTGCTCTTGTGGTGGATATGGACGGCCCTGCAAACAAAAACAACTGTTGAGATTTACTTTTAAATAAAAAAATCATAAAGCTTATCTTTAAAATATGTGCACTTCCTTATAAAATAATATTTATAATTCTAAAAATATTTACCGTGCTACCGGCAAATCCAGGATGGTTCCATCCTAAAGTAGAATACCCAGCCTCAAGCGGTGTGGTCATAATACCAATTTCATAAAAACCTGCATTACCCTCACAGCAAACGACCAATGTATTTCCATTAGGTGAAGCATTCCTTTTGTCGACGAACATAGTGTCTATGTAGTTTTTATCAGCAGTTTCAATCTTGAACCTTTCGCCACGATAGTGTTCTATAAGCTTTGATCTTCCTTGACGTAGACCTTGGTCTAAAAAAATATTTTTACAAGTTCAGCCATAGACTTCAGAATCTCTAGATTTAAGGTCATGTCAAATTTGTGACTGCAGTTATGAACGCTGGATTCTTGGGTAAAATTTAGTTTTTGGTATAATACTGAAAATATAATCTCCAATTCCCCCTACATTAATTAATTTATTAATAAATGTATCCTCACACCTCCAAAGTGAAAACACTTAACTCACTGATATTAAATGGTGGAAGATTTTTGTGTATATAAGTGCTATAATAAGTAACAATTGACCATTCACTAGACAGTTTTAACTACCAGTCAGACATAATTCTGACTTGCCCTGACCAATCAACTGATTAGTCATGACTGGTCATATTGGTTGGTTTTCTTTTTGCTAGATGTTTTCATCAGACTGCTCCCTTAATGCACCATAAAGTAATGAGGTCAACGACTTTGCTGTGGGACTTAGGAATTGACTACGTACAGGGGGCAAGCAAAGTTATATTCTTGGGTTATTACAATTTTGCAAGGAAAATAATAATTAACTATAATAATAATTTTGATTAATAAATTAAACATACCTAAAAGCATTTGCAGGAAACCAACAATACCAGGATAAATTAACCTGATTCCAAATGTATGTATGGCAAGATAAGCCATAATTTTGTAAGGTACCTGCCAAATAAATTGTAGAAAACTAGTATAGGATGGTTTTTTAGGAATACGCCTACCCACTTCCCTGGAAAAGAGTATACAGTAAAAGTAACAACAGACAAGTATACAATATGTAAATACCTAATTAATAATATGTGAACATAACACTTTTATTTTTTATTATTCCGGGTGTTCAAATTAAAGTGTTACAGCTAAATACCGCCTATTATAAAATAAAACGTTTCAGACGAAAGTATTATAGTTTTGTGGGGAAAAAAATTTGGCTAAAATCGTTTTTTATAACTAACCATAATATGGCCAACTTTTTTTTTGTCCAGCAAAATTTTCAAGTAGCCGTTACTCAAAAAGTAAAAGTCGAATAAAAAAAATATATCCAGCAAAAGTTTCTTATTTTTTTATGTACTTTAAGAATATGTAAAAAAATGGGTTCCCATTTAAAAAAACAAAGTACACCTCGATATGGCCATATTATGGTCAGCTATAAAAAAATGAATTTAGCCAAAATGTTTCCCCCAAAAAACTATAAAACTTTTGTCTGAAACTTTTTTTTCTAAAATGCATATTTTCGGCGGTATTTAACTGTAACACTTTAATTTGAACACCCGGTATATTGGGACAATATTCACAATACGGAAATATCACTTTTATTTTTATTGTATCAGAAATTTAGCTGAATCCATGAACTTAGGACCTGCGGCCTTATATCTCCTTTGAAATAAGACAAACAAACTAAAATGTTGCTTCTATCAGCTTATTGTAGTTGTTGACTTCTTATTGTCGATATTAGGATATTTCCCTACAATATCTCCCACCAGACAAATATGTTCAACATACTTCTCAGTCTAGATACAATAAATGTTTAGATAATTTTTTTATAAATTTTGACACTATCTGTAATTGAAATGGGTGTCTCGGATCATAGGGGACAGTTAGTAGAAACTTAAGAAACCTCTGAAATAAAAAACAACTTAACTTGTATTAGAAATTATTATTCACACAACAATATTGAACTATTTCTGAACTATTTAAATTCTGAAAAATGGCTAGAAGTTTATGATGCATATTTGCCGAAAGATAACTATAATGCTTTTATTACAATCTTCAGTTCATATTACAATACATATTTTAAATCCAAACCTCAAATGCAAAATAAAAGGCAGGGCTCTTATTGGGTTTCTCCCACAATTACTGAGGCAAAAAATAGACTGCTGTTTTTGCATGAATGACAAAAACAGCATCCTAGTACTCAAAATATTCAATTATATAAAGATTATAAATTAACATATTTAAAAATTTTGGGAGCAGCGAAACATGATTTTTGCAATAATTATTAAATTCTGATAATAAGGCAAAGACTTTGTGGAATATTATTAACAAAGAAATTGGTCGAAATAAAACAAATACAAAGCCAGAAAATTTAACTCATGAAGATCTTAATCATTTTTTTATTAATAATGTGGAAAACATGATTCAGAATCTAGAGAAACCAGATATACCTGCTACTTTCTTTATAAATATACCACAATTAAAAAATTCAATGTTTTTTCAGCCAGTTACCCAAACCGATATAGAATCAATTGTAAAAGATTTAAAAAATAAAAGAACAGAGGATATTGATGGATTTAATGTATTTATAATGAAAATATGTATTTCTTTTTTGTCTAAACCTTTAACTATAATTATAAATGCTTGTATAACTGAAGGAATATTTCCTGATAGCATGAAAATTGCTAAGGTCTGTCCCCTATTTAAAAAAGGAGACCCTTCTCAGCCTTGCAACTTCAGACAAATGGCTGTACTTCCCATATTCTCCAAAATCTTGGAAAAAAATATGTATAATAATCTAATATCATATTTAAATTCTTCCAACCTACTCACGCCATTTCAGTGTGGTTTTAGAAGGGGGCGATCTACAATAGATGCAGTATTATCTCTAGTAAAATATATAGAAAATTGTTTTGAAAAAGCTGAAAACTGTTTAGGTGTATTTACAGATCTAAGCTCTGCTTTTGACTGTGTGGATCATTCAATTCTATTATCAAAACTGGAGAGGTATGGAGTATGAGGGATTTGTTTACAGCTTTTTAATCTTATTTAACTGACAGATGTCAAACAGTCATCATCGAAAATTGCAAAAGTTCACTGATGCATATCAGGAGAGGTGTCCCTCAGGGCTCAATTTTAGGTCCATTACTCTTTTTGATATACATTAATGATCTTCCTGCATTTTGAAAACCTTATCACATGTATATTTGCAGATGATACTTCTTTTTGTATTAATACTAAAAGAGGAACAGATCATGATCAAGCTTACTCTGATGTCATGATTCAGGCAAAGAGATGGTTTCCTGTAAACAACCTGTTTTTAAATGACACAAAAACTATCTCCCAATTATTTACAGAAAATAGTGAACAAGTTAATAACAATTCTGTTAAAACACTTGGCATTAAAATTGATCCACATCTCAGATGGACAGATCATATTGAAGCACTTTGTTCTAAATTATCACGAGCAGTTTTTGCTATCAGGAAAATACGCCAAATATGTGGTCAAGATGCAGCAATTACTGCTTACTATGCTCTATTTCATAGTCATTTATCATGTGGGACAATATGTTGGGGCAATGCTGCTGACACACATATCTCCAGAGTCTTTATTTTGTAAAAATCAGCCATAAGAGCCATAACACATGTTTCTTGACAAGCCAGTTGTAGACCAATATTCCCAGTACTTAAAATTATGACACTCTATGCAGTAAATCTCTATCAAAACCTTCTATTCGTAAGAAATAATATTAACACATTTTTTTCCCACTGAGATATCCATAACTATAATACAAGGCACAAAGATAACTTAGTCCCTATCCAGTATAGACTGGAAAGGACAAAGAAATATTATATTATATTACCACTTAATTTTAGAAATCAGCCTATAGATAAATTTAAACATGCATTAGAACAAATGTTATCCAATAATTGCCTATATAGCTTAGAATAATTTAAATCAATACAGATGGAGGCTGTCACTGTGGCCTCTGAGTGATTCAGTGAACTATGTGTAAATGTTTGTAAATTTCAATTTTATATTTTTATATTGTTATATTTAGGTAAATTTTATTATATATTTGGTTTTAATTGTAATTTGACGAGCCATAAAGTGTAATATTTTCTCAGGTAAATAAAGATATTGTATAAAGCCCATTCATATTAGATCAAGTTACATATTCCTAGGCTTTAGAACTCTAATCCAATATGTATGCTTATGATTTTCTTCTTCATAATCAAGAAGGGTTAAATAGAAAATGGCCCCGTTTTTATAATTAAAAAATATTTAATAAATACCTGGCATCCTGAGTACACTTATATTCAACAGGCCAGGACTTGAATTCAAAATCGTACTTCATGAGCTCTTGTTTTGCATTTACAGTTAGGTTTTTTTGTGTCTTTTTCAAAGTAGATAAAAATTTCACATAATTGCCATTATTAGCTCTTGCATACCCTCTCAGGCAATAAGAGGCAACAAGTATTAACCCAACCGTGGTGGCTGCTTTAGAAAGTGTTAGTAATCCTTCTGGTTCGAAGTACCCACTTCGGTACAAAAATCCCACTATCACAGGTGACGTATATGTGCCGTATTCCAAAAAAATGTAAAACTACAAAACAATAACTGGGGCATTAAAAGAAAACAAATTGTAAACAATTTTTATACCAACCCAATTTATGACATGATCACTATAACTTTCTATGACACTGGGTTGATAAGGTGTCTGAAAAACAAAACAATGATAAAAGAACAATGAAATTTTAACAATAAATTATATTTACCTCTACAGAATCGCTTGTTGTGTATTTAAAAAGTTTACCAGTAAACATGCAATCCCAAATAAATGAGGTCATTTTTAAACTAGTTTAAGAATGTTCTTTGGTATTGGAAAATGACCATTAATACCAATAATACAAAACGATGACATATGCGTTTTTCGTTTAAAAGAATAAATTACATTTCTCTTGTATTTTGTATCTTTCTTTGCACTTTGCAGGCTAGAATGACAAGTCTGTCGTGACCTCAAATGTTATGTTCATGAGTTCCACCTGGTTCCACACAGATTAACACAGATCCACATGATTTCTCGCATCTTCAAACTCAAACGTCAATACCAATACCAACTTGTTTTAAGTTAGTAAAAGTAACTCTTTGTTCCTTTCCTTTGTCATGCCCACACAAAAAAACAGGATGTTGTTCCATTTATTCCTTGCTTGAGGTTTTTACCTACCTATACGTTTTATTTCGTTTCGAAAGTCCTACAGATTAGTCATTCCAAACAAAATAGTTTCACTTGGATAATGACAGGTTATGATATGGCAACCCTGTGAACCTGATGATTTGACAGGGTCAGTGATATAGATTGATCATCCATGTTTTTCAAAACAAACATAAGGTTATGTCTTAAAGTAAAAATGTAGGTAGTTTTTTAATTTACTTCATTCAAAGGCTTAAAATTGGTTTTAAAACACATTTTTGCTCAATTGATTCTGATTAATGAGCACTTGCGAGGCAAAATGGCCGCACACAAACGATCCGCCTCGAGTAATCTATATATGTATCATTGACCCTGTCAAAGACAAGAGTCCACAGGGTTGCCATATCATAACCTGTTATTATCACTGAACTGTACAGTATAGAGTTCAGTGGTTATTATCCACGGAAAGATTGTTTACAGATCTAGTACATTTTTGTATTTATATGCTATACCAGGGACAATCAATAATTATAAATTTCCACAGCGAACAGCGAGTGTCATTCATGGTCAAGTAAATTTGGGTGAGAAGCGTACTATGATATGGGGCTAATTTAAAAAACAATATACTCCCCCTCACCACGAAGTTCAATTATATAGGGTGTTTGTAAATAGGCGCGAAATATTTTAGGGGGTGGTTGCCGAAGTTATTTTGTTAAAAAGTTCCTATAAACGTAGATACTTTCTGTAACTTAAGTTTTGACCATTTTCGCGATGTTGTGGTGAGCTGATTAGATTTTGGGCATAGTCGGAATATATGGGGGTACTTTTTCTAATTTGAGATATATTTCTGTTATTTATTATTATATAAAAAAATTATTTTAAAAAGACTTGTTTGTACGTAATTCTTTATCATTTTTGCCCTATCTCTAAAATGGACCTTACTAGAAATTTGAATTTTTCAGTATTTTCGTTGGTAATGAAATATGAAAAAATATTTTTGTCAACGATTCGTATTCTAGATAACTACTTTCTGATTACACGGACTGTATTTGATATTTTTGATAAGCCTACAGAAAAGTCATGTGTAGACACTTTAATAGTCATTTGCTTATTATAGAAGCAAGTTTTTACATAGGGCACTAAATGATCTTTCTCTATTGTGCATGTGTTTACAAGACAAACAAATAGAAACCTTTTTATTTTTGGCTTGAAAAATTTACAATTTTGCAAAGTTAATATGTAGGGGTGCAAATCGTACAAGAACAAGTATTAAAAGTAATTTTAAAAAACCGACTTCAAAATCGTGCAGATGCCATCACTACATCTTGACCAAATTTATATGGGTCCACCCCTGAAGGGCCCCCTCACTAAGAAAAGAATTATAGAAATCGGACAAGGTGATAAAGAATTATCAATAAACATACATAAAAAATGAAGAATTTGAGGATTTTTTCATAGACCCAATAGGACTACCCTACAAAAAGAGAATTATTGAAATCGGACACTGTGTTAAAGAATTATCGCTGAATATACATATGGACGACCTCGAATTAACCTACTGAAAAATTATATTTTTTTTATTAATTATACTTACTTTTATAATAATTTTGATGACCTACAAAAAATAGTTGAGAAATATTCTTACCTAATTAATTAGAGCTTTATTTTATAATAAATAAAATTATGTTACCCTGAGTTTTATTTATCTAATGAGTTACCTATTCAAACATACTTAGTGTTCTCGCCTAAAATTGGTGATTCTCTTAAAAGATTAAAAACAATATGTTCCAGGGAAGTAAAAAAATATGAATATAGAAAAACTTGTTTTTACAACCTCCTATTAAAAATTATATTTATCTATTTTGTTCATATGCTTAATCTAACTTAGTTTATTTAATAGGGTAATTTGTAATTTCAATATTAATTTATGATTATTTCAAAGACCCTCAGAGGCACTGAACATGTATAAAAAAACCTTATTCATTTCTTAAACAAAAACAGAAAAAGTAAATGGAAAGTTTTTTATTCTCTAATACAAAAAATAACACTTTTACGTTGATTTCTTAACTGGTTTAACACCTTCCCTGAATCCATTACGGAAGCGCCTGCGCACTATTTTAAGATGACGAAGACGGCCGGTTCCAGTGGTCTTCCTCCTCTTAGCCTTAATGGACCAATTGTAGGAACGCAATTTTGCGGATGGGTATCCACACTGAGCACACTGTGACTTTTGGATGTGGTATGATGATCTACCGCACCTCCTGCACAGAGTGTGGGTCTTGTTGCGACGTTTACCAAAACTTGAAGTACCTTTGGTCATTTTGACCTACCTGTAAAAAATAAAGAAAAAGTTACCGACATACATCCATATCTAAGACATGTAAGGCAGATTATATACCGCTGTGTAGTACAAAACAATAGGTGTTATAGAGTGAATTAAAAAACACAAAATGTATCTAGAAATTATGAATGTCTATTATGGATGCAATTTTCAAACTCTCAATATTTTGGAAGTTGACATCTGTATCATGTTTATAGAATGATACCTATGAATATTTTTGAATTAAAATTAATAATTCACCACAAATGGTAACATGTCTCATATTCAATTTGAAAATTGAAACTAAAGTTGAGAGTATGTTATAGGATTTTAAACACTGTTAAAGGAGCAAGTTTAAGTGGGAATTAGAAAATTCACGTAGAATATATTTTAAAGGTATCTATATAAAAGTTTAATAAATCCCTATTTTACTTCACTGATGTATAAGGTACTTGACCTATTAAAGTTGTGTATTTTAAGAAAGACTATTTCAAATTATCAAATTATTTTTGGCAATTAAATAGGTATATATTTTTGTCATAATCATATTAATTTATTTTTATTGCTAAAGCTTCCTACAAGTTCTAAAATTATATGAGGCCAATTTAATAAGGTTAATTAGACTTTAAATCAAATGAAGGTAATTCATAAATATATCAATTTCATTGTAACATAAAATAGTGGTAGTAAAATCAGCTAAAAATAACATGCAATAAAATAATGTATAATGTAAACGAAATCCGGGCGGAAACATGTTGTAAACATATCACAATTAAGAATAATAGTTTGAAAATACCGCCACGGAAGTCCTAACCAATCAAAAAAAATGAGTACGTTTCAAAGAAAATGGCTGTCATACGACGAACCACGCTACTTTAGTGATTTAAAATATTATTTTACAAGACATATTGGCCAGTTATGTGAAATTAAGTGAGTAAAAGACATTACTAAAATGAAACTTTTGAAGAAAATCATTATCCTTTTTATAATAACGTGCAACTCGTATGCAGAGGATAAACATCCAACAATTTTAGTGTCGATCTTGGTTAGAAACAAAGCACATACTTTACCTTATTTTTTATCAAATTTTGAGTCTTTAAACTACCCCAAAGACCGTATGTCGTTATGGTAAGTCACTTAAATATTTATTTTAATTTATTTCATAGTTTATAACCTTACCTTTGTAAGCGTGAGCCAAGTTGAAAAGAAAAAGGAAAGGAAGTGTATGTTGACGGTTGACATTAATGGCATTGACGTCACTGAAAAATTGGTGTCAGAAAACAGGGTTACCAATATGCGCGTTTTTTTGTTCGCACATTTTCAAGTTCCAGATTGTTCCAGACAAGGAGCACGATATTACATATACAGCGTGTCTCCGGATAAACGCATTATTTTTATTTATCTTTAAAATGTACTCCATTTGTTACGTTTAAAATAATAAATGCCATATGTGAATCGCTCATTATACGAGTTAAGACCGTTTAAAATAGATATTAGAATATACGAGAAAAAAAAAACAAATAAGTATACAGGGTGTCCCAAAAAAGTAGGCAAATCCGTTGATCATATATTCCTTAGGTCAATGTAAGAAACCTCTATTATTCTTTTTTTTTTCGATTGGCGCCATCATGTTCAATATACAGGGTAACAAAGTTAATTTTAAAAAATACTTTTATCATTATTTTATTAATTAGATTGCCTAAAATTGGTACAACGAGGTTTTTTGGGATGACAAATGATAATTTGAGCTTAAATATCAACTACATCAAAGAGGGCGCTAGTTGCAATGAGTCATCCTGCATATGACATGATGGCCTCAATCGATAAAATAGTAATAGAGGTTTCTTACACTGACCTAAGGAATCTCTATGGTTAACGGTTTGGCCCTCCATTTTGGAACACCCTGCATATATATTTTTTTAATATGATTAACGAAGTTGTAATTTTTTTTCGTTTTTTCTTTATACCTATATCATCAACAGGGCGACATACTGGCACGAAATTATGAATTTAAGGGTTTTTGGATTCAAATACGTTCTTAGTTCAGATGCCACTTGTAGACCAAACTTTTTTGTGTCATGGTGTATTGGTCTAAGTGTTAAATATTATGTATTTTCCACCTTTTTTAGGCAAAAAGATATACATTGTAAATGTCGCTCCGGGTGACTGTTTTCCAAATATGAGTATCTATTTTATTTTTTTAGGATAAAAAGTGACCACAACACTGATAATAGTTTAGAAATTTTGCGACAATGGATTTCTTCTGTCAAAGACAATTATCATTCAATTAACACCGAATTTATCGAAGATGGTGCCCAATATTCTGGTGAATATGGACCTGCCCATTGGACGACTGATAGATTTAATCATATTATCAATCTAAGGGAATCTGCTCTCAACTTTGCAAGAAAATTTTGGGCTGATTATTTATTGGTAAGTTTACCTATATATGTACTGTTATTGAATGAATCAAACATAAACTAAGACTGGAACTGGTCGTTTATTTAACACAAAATACATGATCCCCTAACATGCTTTTTCGTCTCCCACATAACCGCCCCAAACGAACCCTTCTCCGCCTAGTGTATTACTGGTTGCATACAACGCAGTGTATTACTGGTTGCATACAACGGAGTGTATTACTGGTTGCCTATCAGTAGGGGAGATAATAGATACAACAATATACACGTTTATTCTTGAGGAGTCAATTGACTTGTTTTATCTACAGCATTTACTACAGTTTGTTCGCTATACTTACGCGGGTTTCGGATTAAAAATTTTATGAGTATTTCCAGGTAAGTACCCGAAAGTTTGACCTGTTCTTTGGGGAAATATCAACTGGTTAAATGAAATGAAAAATCATGTACAACTTTTTAATTAAATAATAATGGAGAATCTTTTGTATAATTGAGAGCAGAATTAAACTTCTTCATTAATGGAGTCTAATGTGGCTATTATAAACCTAATAATAATTTTATATTACACTTTACACAGAAAATATGGTCTATGTATAATAAGAGGGTTATTTAGCTCAAATAAAATATTTTCTAACATAAAAATTTGTTCCATGTAGAGAATTTCAAATGAAAAATAAAAAAATTGAACTTGCCAACAAAAATGAAAATCAGTCATTATCATCCAAAATATCATAATCGTCATCATCATCACTGTCATCACCATTAATTGTTATTATGATTGGACTTATTTCGTTTATTTTATTTTCACGAGTACACCAATCTTCTATTAGTTTCTCGCGCTTGGATATACAGTTTCGCCACACTTCTGGAGTTGCAATTGAAAGTGTTTTTCGCCAAGTTTCCTGAACTGAGTCGTCACTATAACCATTAGGCCCAATATGGTTGTCATAATATTGTTTTGCTATTCCCCATATACAGAGTGTTAAAAAAAAGTGTCACAAAATAAAACGGGGGGTAGTATGGGCCAAAATATGCAGAAAAGTCTTAATAAACATATGTCCGCAAATGAATGGTTTCAGAGATACGGAGTGTTTTGTATCATTTTTTGATTATCTTTTTTCATTCTCAAAAACTTGCTTTTCTTATCGGAGTCTACCGATGTTTTTTCATAGATACTATTTGCAGTTATTATTTTGTTGTGAGTGAATAATTTTATAAATTTTCGTTATGCCTGTTTACACTAATATTGAATTAGCTGACATGCATTTTATGTACGGTCGTGCAAATGGCAATGCGAGGGAAGCGCTACGTCAGTATATCGACGCTTTCCCTAATCGCCACATCCCTTCAGTTCGTGTGTTTGGAAGATTGCGTGATACAGGTAAATTTGGGAAACAGTCACATGATTCTGGGAGACCAAGGTCGGTGTCCACCCCTGAGGCAGAAGAAGCAATTTTAGCACGAGTAGAAGAGAATCCAGAAACTAGTGTGCGAAGAATATCAGCGGAGGTAGGATTTGGGGCTCCTCTGGTTTGGAGAATCCTCTACGAGCAGCAGCTTTACCCGTACCATCTTCAACGAGTGCAAGCTCTGAATGCACCTGATTATCAAGCACGTTTGGAGTTTTGTCGATGGTTTCTGAGAAATGATGCTGAGGATCCCAATTTTATTGCGCTAATTCTTTTTACTGATGAGGCAGGGTTTACACGAAATGGAGTTTTTAATTTCCATAATTTGCATATGTGGGCCGACGAAAATCCCCATAGTATCGTGGAATCCAGGCATCAAGTTCGTTTTTCATTAAACATTTGGATGGCTATTTATGGTGACTGGTTACTAGGTCCGATTGTACTACCTAACCGATTAACGGGAGCTGACTACTTAAACTTTTTGCAGAACACATTGGGTGATCTTTTAGATGACATTCCTTTAATACAAAGAAATCAAATGTGGTTCCAGCACGATGGTGCTCCGGCGCATTTTTCAGTTGCCGTAAGAGAACATTTAGACGGATCCTTTGGTCGAAGATGGATAGGAAGGGGCGGACCTGTGCCATGACCTGCAAGATCGCCTGATTTAAATCCGCTTGACTTTTTTCTTTGGGGACACTTAAAAAATTTAGTGTACGCCACTCCTGTGAATAACCTCGAAGAGCTGCAGCAACGAATAGAGCAGGGATGTCATCGAATCCTAGCCAATGAGGGTGTTTTGGATATAGTCCGACAGTCCTTTCGGAGGAGATGTCGTAGCTGCATTGAAATGGAGGGAGGGCACTTTGAACATCTCATTTAACTCTATGTTGTTATTGATTGTTTATAAATATCATTGTTTTTTTATAATAATAAAAAATTGTTATAAACACAAAATGGTCCGTATCTCCGAAACCGTTAATTTGCGGTCATATATTTATTAAGACTTTTCTGCTTATTTTGGGTCATACTATTCACCATTTCATTTTGTGACACTTTTTTTTAAAACCCTGTATATTCGACGATACGGTGGCAGACGTAAAACTTGATGAGCGCAACTTTCAATAATCTGATCCACAACAAAGGTTTTTGGTTTTACGTGTATATTTGCCAAGCGTAATAATTCTGATTTTAATATATATTGAGAAAATGATATATGTTCCTTTGTCAACTATTCTTTAATTTTATCAACAGTCCAAGAATTCGTTGGACTTTTGTTTAATACTGCAGAATGGTAAGGTGTATTGTCTAAAATAATTACGCTGGGCTCACTTAAACCTGGGAGAAGTTTTTCATGCAATCATTTTACAAACATTTCTGTGTTCATATTATCGTGATAGTCACTGGATTTTGATTTAGATGAAAATATTAAATCAGCACCTTCTATAAAACCCGATTTCCCTCCTGCATGTAAAATTATGTGTCGCTTCCCTTCTCCATTGGTATATTTGATGAATTTTACGTTATCAGCTTGCCTAATTCTCTTGGTTGCACCCCTAGAAAATAGCCATTTTTCGTCTAAATATATAAAATTCGCCCCTTCTTCTTTTGAAATTTGAAACCTAAGTTATGTATCACTTGCCATAGACTTGTTCTGCCAATGTCGTCAAATTTTCTATCTATTAATTCCGAGAGAATTGTATTTAAGGTTACATGTTCCTTGTTGGTCCTCAATCGATAAATGGTATCACGAATTTCAAATTTCTTTCCATCTGGAATATCTTTCGTTTTCAATGATGGGCGAGTTTTGCGGTGATCTTCTTTCGGCAGTTCACTATTGTGATTTTGTAATACTCCTCTTAATTTGGTTTAACTAATTCCTAGAGCATCGCATACACGTTGTTGTACAGACATTACCCATTTTAAAAGACCGCCATTTTCTTTTTCATCCGTAAAATACTTATGTACACTACAAATTAGACTATCTACATCTAACACGTCTAGGCATTTTTAAAATTTCCACTAAATTTACAATATACATACAATGTTAACAGTTGCAAAGAATCAATTCAACTGCAATATTTGTAACAAATTTAGTACCTACCCTAATGTTATTTTCATTTAAATCTGACCATTAGGGCAATTTTACCTAGTTTCTTGGGAAGAGGCTTATTGGAACTGGTTGTCAATGACTAATTTGCATAATTTTGTTAATCCGAAACCCGCGTAAGTACAATCAAATACAAAAATATCAATTTCATTACCAATTTATTCGTTTTAAACTTCACAACTGGTTTTAATAGTTTTTTTCAAAACTATTTATTTAGTATTTCTTTATAATACTATGGGATCAATCCATTTAATTTATATTTTGTTTAAATGTTATTATTTATAAGTTAATTTTCTTTAATATAAATTCTCTCTTTAGGTGACCCAACGATAACTTAATGGGAGTTTTGGGTACAGGTGCGCGCCTAGCACTTTTGGCGCCCTTGTGCAAATTTAAAATAACAGGCCAAATTTGTATCTTATTTATTTATTTATTTATTTATTTATTTATTTATTTATTTATTTATTTATTTATTTATTTATTTATTTATTTATTTATTTATTTATTTATTTATTTATTTATTTATTTATTTATTTATTTATTTATTTATTTATTTATTTATTTATTTATTTATTTATTTATTTATTTATTTATTTATTTATTTATTTATTTATTTATTTATTTATTTATTTATTTATTTATTTATTTATTTATTTATTTATTTATTTATTTATTTATTTATTTATTTATTTATTTATTTATTTATTTATTTATTTATTTATTTATTTATTTATTTATTTATTTATTTATTTATTTATTTATTTATTTATTTATTTATTTATTTATTTATTTATTTATTTATTTATTTATTTATTTATTTATTTATTTATTTATTTATTTATTTATTTATTTATTTATTTATTTATTTATTTATTTATTTATTTATTTATTTATTTATTTATTTATTTATTTATTTATTTATTTATTTATTTATTTATTTATTTATTTATTTATTTATTTTTAAAATACTGATAATGTTTTGTGTATCTTATTTTTAATACTATATATTTATTAAAACTTTTAAGTTGAACGTTCCTTAGTGGACTGATTAAATTACAAATTAATTGATACAATAATATTGGTGTAGTCTAGACAATAATTCTTATGGTTTAAAGGTTTTGTAACAATCCTTTACTAAAATACACTTTGGATTGTCGCTACTACTTCTTATATAACCATCATTGCAATAACATCCTGGAACACATTCCGGGTCGCAGTTGCCATATTGTCTATTTTGACAAGTCGATATACATTTAGAGCCACATGTGTAATGAGAATTCGGATCTTTGCATTCACCTATAGAACAAAAATGTGTTTGAGTAAAAAAGGAAGAAAATTAAACAATAAAATATTTCTTTTAGTAAGAATATAACTGTAACAAGAATAGATAATGGTAGATGAACAAATAGAAAATGGAAACTCAGGAAGATATATAATGCTTGACATTCTATATTATACTCTTCAAGGTTTAACAGACCCGCTTAACCCCCATTTTTA